AAATGGCAGGACATCCCTGAAAGTTCAGGAGTCCTTCCCTGATCTCTCAAGCAATACACATGTTATACAGTTTTCATTACCTTAATATGACTGGTTTTGGTTGTAAAGCAGTTTACTTAACATAATTCTATTAATTTGTGTTACTTGGACTTCGGTAGGAGTTCCCTGAACTTCATAAGGAGTTTCCTGATTTACAAGAATTGAAATTACAAGGGATCCCTAAACTACGGCAGAACGTCCTTATACCTTTCGGAGTGTTGAAATACCCTCCAAACGCGCTCATTTGTCAGTCAAAATTAGATTCCTTAGCAGCAAAATTAAGGAATGACACCGATAATGACCATGCATCAGAACCTAGTCTTAACCCCTTCGAAATAGAGAACAACGAATAGAAGATTAGGAACCACATAGATGAAGACTAACTAACTCATTTTTCCTTGTTTCAAGATCATCCTCAGTGGACAAAGCCGAGTCTTGTCACTATCAACAAGGCATAAAAAGTAACAAGGACTAAGATGTGTTCCTTTGTTTACTGAAAAATCATGTTCCCCTAGTTTGAAGTAGTCGGGACTAGAAATCGGTGGTAGATCTTGAACAAGGACTTTCCCGAAGTTCAGCAGGCCTTCCCTGAACATTGGCATGACTTCCCTGATGTTCGGAAAAAAAAAACTTCTCTGAACTTCGACGGGACTTTCGTGAACTTCAGCAGGACTTCCCTGAGCTTCGGCAGGACTTCCCTGAAATTCAGCAGAACATTCGGCAGGCATTCCCTGAACTACGGCATATGGCAAGACTTCCCTGAACTTCAGTAGGACTTCCCTGAACTTTGGCAGGCCCTCTCTGAACTTTGGCAGGCCCTCTCTGAACTTGGAATCTGTAACCGTGCGGGAAACTTCCTGAGATAATTGTAAACATGGTGGCTTAAGACCCACTCTCACGAAGAGAGACCACCGGTCGTGTTAAACTTGCCCGACGCTTTGAGACTAAATCTCAGAGGACTCCCGTACGGTACGATTCTCGAAGTACCTCAACGAATCAACCCCGAATTTTCGCTAACGCCTGAGATCAAATGAACACTTTTATCCGCACTTCCTTTTATCACGAAAAACCTGCAACCCCGAAAGGATCCAAAATGCTAAGCTCTATCAGCATAAACACAACGAATCGGGCTAAAAACAAATATGTATGTATGAATAGAGAGATATCTTACTAATGGAATACACAGTGACGTATGAACCAACTAAGAGACGCAACGGTATGAAGGAAAACTACACTCAGGTCTTTTTTTACACGGGGGATACGTACCGTGTAAAAAAAAACCGTGTGAAAAAAACCTACGAGATTTTGATTTTTCGAATGCTTAAATGTTTTAAAAAAATCGGATTTTGATGCCATTTGTAATTAAAGCATGATATGGTCCATACAGACATATTTTAAAAATTTCTGTATTTACACCAAAAATTGTGATTTTTTCTAAGTATGCCATTTGATTACCTATAGCTGGAAACGGATAATGTGATTAGAATCAAGTCCATAGGTTGTATCGTTGTCGAGAAATCGTTAAAAACGTACCGTGTAAATCGTGGAAAACCGTGTAAAAATAACCGTGTTAAAAAAACCGCGTAAAAAAAAAACCGTGTATAAAAAGACTTCAGTGTATATACTTTACAACAAAAAAACAACCAATTCAAACTATATTCACGTATTTGATAATTACATTGGTGTTGTGTTGGACAAACCTGATAACAACGGAAAAACTAAATTCATGTCCATGAAAACAAGAATACGGACATACCTGCGCAGGATTTAGGTTCCGTGAGATGTGATGCGATGCGATGCGATGCAACGGCGACGGATGAAGCGGTGATGGCGTCGGATGGATCGGTGATGGCGACGGATGGAGCGGTAATGGCGGCCGGAGACCTTACCAAGGTCCTAGCGATGGCGACTGTCGACCTTCCGATGACCTGTGATGATGGCGGCGGTCTTGGAATGGCGCCGATCTAGCTGCGGAAATGGCGTGCAGCGACGAAAAGTGACCCGTGTGCGGTATGGCCGAAATTAGAGGTGCGGAGGTAGTGGCGGCTGGACGGAAGGCTTCGATTTGCTTTCTAGAGAGCTGAGCATCGACGGAGTCGAGCTTTTCCCGGGAGATTCGCTCCGCGGAAGAGAGAGACCAACGTACCGTCGCACGGCTTCGTGTACTATGTTTAAACCGAGATGGAATGAAATCTTCTTCTCTTTGGTTGAAATCCGAATGCCCTCGAATGTCACGGTCCCCGGGGTTGTAACGGGATGGGGACCTTACCGACGGCTTTTGGCGACCGTCGGGAAACAATTCGCTAAGCAGAAATTTAGCGTCTTCACTCTCCTCCGTTTGACTACCTACGAGAGGCGGGCCTTCGCTGTGCACACGGGTCTGATCCGTCCTTCACGGACGAAAAATGTGGCTTTGATGATGCCACGAAGCCAAAGTTCCGGCGATGATGACCGCCGAACTCGTCAAAAATCCAGTCCAGCCCGTTGAACGAGCTGTCCAACGCGAAAAACACGAAATTACAAAAATGCTTATGTTTAAAAGTTTTACAAATTACCTTTGTGTACGATAAAACACTAAAAACGCAGATGTCTGCGACGCAACTACTTTGAACAGTACAAAAAACACACGTTAAATCACTGAGCTGATTCAATTAACTCCTTTTAAACTAATCACCTTAGAGTACGTAGATTACTTTCACAGAGTCCACTTTACGAACTTAATAACCGCGTCACACACATCTGCTTTCCAGCCGATTCGTTAGCGAAATGGACGAGATTAGAAGTTTTGTTCCCCAAGATACCACAGGTTTTCTTCAAGATAAAAGGATCGGATATGGCACGAAAACATATGTCGATTAGCCATGTTATTTATGTGTTCATTTGAATCCAATCTCTTTCGCGTATTTAGCAATTCTTCTCTTTAGCCATCTTATTTATTGTTCCATAAAAAACGCTAGCTTGCTATAAAACCTTACAAATGTATATACAAAGCTAAATGTAAAACATAGCTTAGACACAAACCAGCTTCTTCGCACAAGATTATATGTTACCTAATATTTACAACTTACACAACTCATCCCTAATATTTACAAATTCCATTCTTTTCCACAATCTTTACCGCCAACTCAAATGAAAACAAACGCACAGCGTTACAAATCTTGGAATCGAATTTTTAATTTACTAGGATTATTACAATTATACAATAATATGGGGTGGTCAAAATTACAATACTTTTCATTTTGCAATGCTAGTTGGTGTGGAGTCAGTATCAACGGAAAACTATTAACTTACACCTTAAAACCTGGGATTTTACACCAGCAATCAACGGATCTCAACCTCCTAAACAGTTTTTCCCAAGAAAGCAATTTTTAATATGACTTTGATCACGAGATATTCTATTTTAGAACCAAACGACTTAAACTATGACGGCTACGACTGATAAGCTCTCCCTTGAAATATAATCCGTCGGACAGATTAAATAAAAGTCACTAGATTGCATCATGGCTTGGAATATCGCATTTATTCATTTCTAGTGGTACCCTTTCTAGGTATCTGAGTGTACCAGTCTAACAAATCAACCACAGCTATATGTGTAATAATGCGATTGTTGTTTAATATTTGCTATCTGCTGGAGATGGAGTAACGAGTGCTTCAGCAAAGGACAGCGAGAGGGAGAATGGTGAGCAGAGTCGCGTTTTCACGATCATATATTTCAATTTATATGCTCCATTCTGCACTGTACTAACCCCGTTCCACCCGTCCTAGCCGTCAGCAGAAGGAAAATTAAATTGTTCGAATATCATTGTGCATGCAATATAGCGGTTTTCATTTATTTACTTTTGTCTTGTTGCTCGTTGTTTTTGTCTTGTATTCTTGATTTCCTTACTCCGAGCTCTTCTTTCATTCTCTACAACTCTTCAGCATTTTTCTTCCTACTGCTAATATTTTAGCCACGTTATTATTTTCATATTCCCATTCCTTCATCATTTTTAGCACATGGAAGAGTGCAGTTCATTGAGCGGATTGTCGTGCAATCAGCGCCTTATGGAAAAAGTGCTAGGTTCGAATATTGCTTTGCATACTTAACTGGAATTCGATTCAAAGATTACACTTAGTCTAAATTGGTACAACTTCATAACAAAAGCCATTACTTTCAAGAAGTAGGTCGGTTACGGCTATTAGTCCAAAGCTTACTCCCGAGAGATAATCAACCCGCGAAGCGATGATGTTGAAACCGGAAGAACCGGAGATGAGGCCTCATCTATAGAGAATCGTGTACTTTTTGCGCTTATGACTTGACTCGAAATTGCACCACACTCTTCGCTTACCGCAGAGAATCACATTCTTGCTCCCCTCCTTTCCACCAACGAACGGCTCCAGTGAATGTTGATGTCATATCGTCGTGGCGAAGGGGCGAGGGGGCGAGAGCTCAAGCCTTCCAGTCGAAGCTAATGCTGACCCCCACTCGATGCCCTCTGGACCATTTGGCTCATATTCATTGCTTATTAAGTTCTTTGTTCTGCAATCACGAACGTGGAAAGAATCGAGATTGCGTCGGGTGAAATAGAGACCGGGGGATGTCTAACGGTTAGAGCATTGCACCAATATTGTCCGGTGGGGGTTTTGTTTGTATGTGGTTTGGTAGGCATTCTCTGGGATTAAATATTTTCAGCGTTATTATTGCTACAGCTAGGCATTCACTTGGGGTTAGTTATGTACAATGCAATATTTGGGCAGGAATTTACATGTCTAATGCTAAGATATTACCAATAACATCCTTATCAACTGAAACGAATTACGGTTATGAGTAATTCTCATAATCGTAACTATCGTCCAGATGTTCACAATGTATGAACGTTGCACACCTGTTCGACAAACTTGCAGATGGTTGAATCGCTTGATAAGCGTCGCTTATCAAATCACTTCCCAATTTAAGTATAAAACTAGCTACAAGTGCTGGTTCAAATCATCAGTCAATTTCCATTCAACATCGAAAAACCATCGATTCCGTCCGTCCAGAACAACTAAAATGTTCAAGTACCTGCTTTTGGCCACCCTCATTCCAGCGGTTATACTGCAGAATGCCGACAACATCGACCATGAGAATTGGGATAGAGTAGCCTTCCGTCCGTGTGCTGGTGCTCGCCCGATTCCACGGGAGCTTCGTATCAGAAACTGTCCAAGTTTACCGTGCCTGTTGGCTCGGGGTACTGATGCCAAAATGGCCATAGATTTCACTTCAGGTACGTATCGCATTGCTACTTTTCCGATCACTTTTGTAAAGTAACAAACGTTGTATGACCCTACAGTCCAAGAAGCCACCACCCTGCGCGCCGCCGTGACTGCAACAGCGCTCGGAGTTACGGCTCCCTACGAGTTGCCAGCTGACCGTGCTGCCGCCTGCAACTGGCTAGTACAGTCTCGTTGCCCGACTTCGCCAGGAGAGGAGCTGATCTACCATTTGAGCATGCCCATTACTCCCATCTACCCATTGGTCAGTGTGACTATTCAAATGGATTTGGTGGATCAGACCCAGCAGTCCCATGGTTGTTTCGTCATTGATGCCCGAGTAGTTGCCAATTAAGGTCTCCCGCACAATAATGCGTCACTCACTGTCAAACGCTCTGGAATTAATCATTTAAAACAAATGGTTCGATGATATACGACATTCCAATTATCCATCAATAAATCAAAAATATTCAGGATTTTCATAGTTGTTTTCTACTATTTGCAGAGTTTTTCATATTGTTTAGCTTGCTACTTGCAGAAGGTAGTAGCTTCGTTAATCCAATGATAGCGAACAGTTATCTCTTACCTTCGAACTTACTATTCAGTATTGTTAATGGAATGATTAAAAGAGCTAGTGTCATTGCAAGGTCGCACACAGTCCTTGAAATTATGATAGTGATAGTAAAAGAGAGACAGCGAGAATTGGGCTAATGATAAGCTTTACCAATTCGAAGTATACCTAGATGATTATCATTGGGCAGCGTGGCAGCAATAGTGGTGTTGGTATCAATGTGGTATTATTAAGTGGAGATATGTTTGAAGTACTAAAAGAAATACTGGCATGCAGTTTTAAAAGCCTGTTTAAAATACTGAATTGTCAAAGTAGGATCACTTAAAACGTACTTAGATATAAATCATTACAATTAAGGCTGATTATAGATTAAAATAAATTATAATTTAATTTGAACTTGGAACATATAGGGAGTTAAAAAAAAAAAGTAGTAACAGAATTTGCATATCATGGAACACTGCATATACCTTTACCTTTCCCTTTATCTTTTGGTGAGACTTTTCCTGTTGCATAAAGTTACGGAAACTAGATAGGTTCATGGCGGATTGCCTTTAGTTTCTTAAGCGTCTCACACTTCCAAGACTTTGATGCACTTGGTCTAATCATTTAGCTTACTGAAAACTTAGTAACCCTTGAATTTGTTATGTCAGCATTAACTAGAAAAGAAATGTTCATTGTTGTTAAGAGTATTTTAAATTGAATGATTTGTGCAGTTCTGTTGATTACATATTTGTTTATGGTTGTTATAGTGTAGCGATATCACACATTTTTGAAAAAAAAAATCGAATTGTTCCTTGTTACTGTTTTGCTCAAATATAGCAAAAAATAATGTGTTTATCAACTTGGTTGCTTGAGAAAAGTGTTCCTCGGCTTATTTCACGTCAAATGAATGGTAAAAAAGAGTGTATGCACTGTTTTAAGTGACAGTTTCAAATAAAAATAATAGCAAAAATATACTTTTTTCACATTTAGACTAAGCAGAACATATGATAGACACATCCGCCCACTATCTTTTAGCAACCAAAAGATAGCTTTCGGATAGGCTTTAATGTGTTTTTCGATTTTTTGCGAAAGATGTTGAAATTAGGAATAACAAGTAAAGTGTTCTTTGGAAAATATCCGTTTCTAAGTTATAAAATCTGCGGTGTATACTGTAGCAAGCTTCACAATGTCTTTTTCAAAGCACACGTATACGTTCATTTCTCGTGAAATTTTTATACCAGACACTTTAAAAACTTTTTAAGACGCATATTTTTGCTAAGTTGTTATCTCTTTTATTTGAAAAGTTATGGCTAGCTTTTGCTGAAAAATATTACTTATTTTTAATTTAATTAAATGCTTTAAACAATAAAAGCTCGTGCAGTTTTTTACAAAAAAAAAAATAAGAAAAAACGATGTTTCCTATGAAATTAAATGTTTGAAAATCGGTTTGTTCCATTTTGAGATATTGACAATTGAAAAAAGCAATTTTTTCGAAGAAAATAGCCTTTAACTTTCTAATCAAAAAAGATAGTAACCTAGTTGCCTGAGAAAAAATATGCGTCATCAAAAGTTCTAAATGTAATTAGAACAATGTTTTTACGAGAAACTATCGCATGTAAAGATACTCAAAGAAACCCGATTTTAGTGGTCACGGTGGCCATGGTTAGGGTAACCTGCTTGTTTAAAAAAATCATAACTCATGAACCATAAAAGATAAAAACGTTGTGTCTTGAACAAAGTTGCTTTGAATCGAATGTTCTACAACTGTTTAGAACACTGCTTTGGTCTATCTCAAATAATAAAAAAGTTTGTATTTTTAATTCACCAATTTTATGGACCACAAAATTTTGAACAAAACATATGAAGCAAGTTTACCTAGGAAACCATATACCTAAAACTGACGGTTTGGGCGCAAACATTTTTGTCTTCCTAAATACGGCTTTGGGACCATTGTGCATTGGTTCTGGCTCTACTATACTCGTTTTTGTGACGTCTTGATTGTCAAGTTTTCTTCGTACAGCTAAAAAAAGCATCTATTTCAACTGTTTTTGCCTATTTGCAACAATTTTGAGGTTTTGGCCAACTTTTGTTCTAAGGGGAACCACTGTGCTATGGGGTTGTACGCAATGGTGACGTAGGACTATGTGGTCCTTTATAATCAATGTTTTTTGTTAGCTGCTGCAGGAGCTGACATTGCATACAATGTGAGCTAGAAAATCATGCCCTACCCATTTGCATCTGCTGTGCCTTTCTACACTAAATTACGCTTAACACTTTTTTTCGGCGAATTTATGATCCTTCTCTACTGCGCTAAACCAAACGAGAAGAAATAAGAAGGGATGTCGGTTACGCTGTCGAATAATTGAAAATTCAAAAAGTATTTAATCGAATAGTTGGAAAAATCTTTACGATTAATCGTTAATGGATTAATTGGACTTGTAGGCATCCCTAGAAAATAGTGTAAATTTTTGTACTTTTTCTGGTCCTTCGAAAAAATTGAACAGCAGAATTGCAACCAGCAAATATAACCCAAGAACCAAAATCGATGCGATGCTAGTTTTCATTGCTATGACGACGACTAAATTAAAGGGCTTAGAAGCAGATGACTATGGCTTAACTAACATATTTCATACTATTTCTGTTATGCTCTACTATCATCCAGAACAACAAACGTATCAATGAATGTCTTTTTTTTTTCTTTTTCCTTTATTTAACGTCGGTTTCTGTTCCGCAATCTAGTGCCAATCACCGACGGACATCGATTGCCATCCATTGATGGCAACCGAATGTGCAGGAAGGCAGCTTCCACACCTGCGTAGGATATCGAACCCATTCACAACATACATGGGCCGGGACCAACGGCTTTACTTCCCTTCCGAAGGAAGACGTGACCAGAGATTTTTATGCCTCAGAAAAATCTCACCGACCTCGGCTGGGATTGAACCCAGATCCATTGGGGTGTTATAAAGCAGTCACGCTTACCACTACACCACCGGCGTCGGCTTATCAATGAATGTGTTTGCCGTCGAATTATTAACGAAACAGAAAGTCGATGAAGAGAGTCGATCAAAATCACTTGCGCACCTGCTTCGAAGTTTGGTTACAAGATTACAACTCTGGAAGCATTTTGTGTGGTCGTTGGGGGCGTGTGGTTCTGAATTTGACGATGAGTGCGCACAATGTTACGCAATTGCATCCTCCCTATTCGCACACGCCCGAAGATCGGAGGCGAATGCCAGTTCGATTTGTTTCGTGAACTAATGAGTCTCTGATGACAGTGTTGGGGAAGCAGCAATGCTACATCGACATGTTTCGTCTAGAAACGATTATCTGATGACTGTGTTAGGGAAGTAGCATATGCATGTACGTAATTGGTGGGTTTGTTAGTTATTTCGATGCTTTTGGACGATGCTTGACATTTACTACTTTTTCAGTAGTTTGTTGTTGAAAATTAACATTCGGAAGCATTGTTTTCAATGCGTAGAAATATTTCTGATCGATTGGTGAATTTATTGAGATTGGCCCAAGGGCAGCTGAGTTATTAACGTTCAAAATCTTTCGTAATTTCGTTACATGTTCCATTTTCGGTTTTCACAAAGTGTACCCCCATATAGAAATCACAGACGTAGTATTACGTCAAAAACCTGAAAAATTGAGTAAATCTTATTCATAGTGTATTGATTACATCTGTCAAGTTTCATAGTTATTCATACAGTAGTTCCAGGCATGTTGTCGAAACAAGAAATTGTCCGTGAAAAAATTTTGTACACTTACAATCAAAATCCAGAGGCGTCCCACCGATGGATCGCTAAAAAGCTTGGAATTGCTAATACAACTGTGCCTCGTGTGATAAGAACCTTCAAAGATTGTCTGAGTGCCCGAAGAAAGGAAGTGACTGGTCGTAAAAGTGGTCCAATGGACAGTAAGATGGCCAGGAAAATGGTGCAACAGTTCAAGAAACGTCCAAACATGTCAATTCTAGATGTCGCTAAAAAGTCCAAGATGTCAGTCGTTTGGGAACAAAACCCTGAAGCGTGCTGGGTTAAATGAAAAGAAAACATCACTGCGAAAACCTGCACCCGGAAACTTTACACGAAGTTACTCACCAATTCGTGTCTGATCTAGCATCCTGCCACTACGCTCGAAACGTGTTTGAGTGGTACCGAGACAACGGAGTCAATTTTGGGCCAAGAGATATGAACCCACCAAATTCACCGGAACTTCGCACAATTGAAAAATTCTGGGCAATTATGAAAACGAAACTTTGCAAACATCCGAAAACTATTGAAACAGAGCTCCATTTTACATAAGGATCATAGGTCGAACATTGAAGTTAATTTTTTTTTTACTTTTATTTGTAAACTGGTGATATTTAAGTGATGTCTCAGAGAAAACCATTTTTGAAATTTGTATTAACTACCCAAGTAACCATAGGTACGTTATTTCACCTTTTGACTATATACAGCTGAATAACGGCTATACCAGTGTTTGCACGTTTTGATGAGGCTGGTATACAGCCAAAAAGGCGAAATAACGTTACTTGAGTAGGTCAGTTTCATCTTAAGTACTTATCCCTAAGTAAAGGGTGATACGGTCAAAATTTGGTCAATATCAACTTGACGTATTTCTTTCAATTTTGCATTTAAAAAACCTGAACACCCCTCATTTTGAAGGTGTGTGTGTGTAGAATGTTGCTCCTATTTCCGCATCGCGAAAATCCGAGCTACTCGCACGCAAAGTTGGCAAAATCGCTTAAAGTTGCCAAATCAACCGTTACAAATGTAATTAAAGTGTTTGGGGAACGTTTGTCGACAGCCAGGA